ATACTCTCCTTGTATTGGATCTTGGCTTTGACATTGTAGACTGTGTGGGAGCTTTTCAAGGTGTTGATTCTTAAGATCAAGGTGGGTTGGGGTGAGGCTGGGAGGGAGAGGGGTGTAGAGAGGGTTTTGTTTTACTTTTGTTTTTTTTTTTTTTTAATGTTATTGTATCTCTCAACAAAAATATATAATAAAAGATTTGTATAATTGAAAGTGAGAATGTTTTGGGAAAAATAAAAGTGAGCTTGGTATAATATCACCAAAAACTTCAATACCAAAAATACTTTCAACTTTGTATCTTTTTTAGTCATTATACAAAGCTCACAGCACTTTCACACAAAAATTTACCAAACACACCAAACTGCTTTCTTTCACAGCTGATTTATCTTATAGCAAATATGATAGTGATTATTTTCACAGCACAGCAATGCCAAACTGGCCCTAAGAGCAACAAAACATTTCACATCTAAGATTTCAGGAGCATTAGTTTGATATGCATCACTTGAAAGTGCCAGCAAGAAATTTTGATTTTCCTTTCTGCATACTAGATTTGAACTTCGTAAAGATAAGGAATGAGAGAGTTTTGACAACTGTTTTCTCTTTTACAAGAAATGCAATCCTGTGTTGATTTCTTACCTGTCCCTCCTTGGTGAATTTTTGACTTACTGAAATATGTTGGAGCAGTTTGCATTTTGGTCGGATGTGCCCAAGAGCTCCACAATAGTGACACGTGGGTATGAATCTCCAAGTTGTTTGAGAAGTTGAAGCACCAGTAGGAAGTGATGGTTTGACAAAATTTGTGACGGATACAGCGGGAGACTTGTTGATTGAATCAAAACCTAGGCCACGTTTGTCTTCATCTATTCGACCCATGCTAATCATTTTTTCAGCCTTAGATGCACCAATTGTTAAAGCAATAATCCTCTCCCTTAAACTTTTAAGCTCAATTTAAAGGGCTTGGTTGTCAGAGGTCAAAGAAACAATTAATTTATTTTGATCAATGCACTTTTTCTGTAATGTTTCAAATTTCTCATACATACCTTCACCTATTATTTGTGGTTCAGTAGCAGAGGATTGCGACGTCCTGACAGTCCAACCGTTTTCCAACTCAGCCTTGGCGTTTTACTTAGAGAATTTGGTGTCTTCCATGTCTTCATCAACTATCATGATTCTCAATAAGTCCTTCATGAACTAATTTCTTTTACTAGGGTTATGATGTAGCCTAGCAATGAATACTCAAATTCTTTGATATTGTTAAGTTTATTTATCTATAAATGTTGAGTGCTTGTTATCGTTTTTAATGCTTTCAATTAATTGGACACTAATTGCATGATTGGTCCGGATAATCTTGTAAACCCTCATTTTATTATAATAAGGACCCAATTTACATCCTCATGGTCCGGAGTTGCAAATTCCTTGTAATGTGAATCTATATCCTTGTAAATGAGGATTTACAACATTATAGATTATGTGAATCCTAATGTTGTAATCCTGGTTCAAAAACTTGTAAATTGTTACACCCAAATCTTGTAACTTATAAGTTTTGGGATCCTCTTACAATGTTATGGTACTCTCATATCCAAACTATTGTAATACCGGTCCTTAGTCTTGTAAACTATCATGTTTACTATAATAAGGACCCATTTTATATCCTTGAGTCCACACTTACTGATTCCTTGTAATGTTGATCTATGTCCTTATAAAATGGGGATTTACATGGGAAGCTAGAGGATTGGTAACTTTCTTTTCCTTCATTACCCATTTAATATTTTATTATGTTACAATACATATATAAAAAATTTAGTATTTTAGTTGAAATTATACATAATATATGTAAATACTATCTTTATATTAGGAAGATGTGAATCAAAAAACTGAGAAGGATCATATGGGAAATTTTTGTTGGAAGATGCTATGAGTTATCTTTTGTTATAAGACATTTGTTTAAAGTTATTTTTAGAATAAGCACAAATACATATATATTTTTATATAATAATATGTCATCTTGAGAAGTAATTATAGTGTGGCTTCAGAGTATGTCATATAATATTTATTATAATATAAGTGGATATTTATTGATATTATGTCTTAAAAGTTGAACATCTTATCATTGATTGATATTAAACACGTAAAGGAGTTATCTATGTAGTCATATTTTAGTTCCTTATAATAATTTATTAAGAAATAACAAATCACAAAGAATAGTTTAGATGTTCAAAAATTGTTTTTGGTTACAAGTAAAAAAAACCAATTTCAGTTTGGCCAATTGGATTTACATAAAGTTACCCAAGTTTTATTGATTTTGGTTACAAGTTATATAAAGCAACCCCTAACTCATGAATCATGAAAAAATCTACAACTGTTGTGAAATAATTGAAATAATTGTAACAACATTATGGTCCACCCTAATCCATAACACTGTAATACCCTAATTTACAAAGAAAATGACACATAGTACCAAGGTAAGAATGGACTTTGAGGAGTAAAATTATGTCATTATCCTTGTAAACACAACTGAAAATCTTGTAATTTAAGAGAAAACTTGTAAACTTCCTATTTCTATAATTGTTTTTCTTGACTTTTAATCCTAACAATGTACTATAAAATCTATGGCTATGTTAGGAAAAGAATATAAATTTATAATACTTCGTGGATGTCTACAAAAGTACAACCATGTAACATAGAGTTCAACAAGTGATATAGTTCTTATTTTAGAAATTGCTTTCAACCAATTACATAGACAAAACTTGAGGTGAATTTTTTTTATGGATAAAGACTTTTAAACTCTCAAATAAATATTGATGCGCATTCACCAATTCTATAAAACAAAAGAAACAAAAAATTGAAACTATATCAACCTCAATTGATTTATAAAAACTAGACATAAAATACAGAGGAATTAACCACAACTAGCCATCATAATTCATATAAATAAAACCAACAACTCATAATGAACTTGAGTAAAGCTACAATGAGGTGACATATCAAAATCAGAAGAAAAAAAAGAGTCAAACAGTTCTCATAAAAAAAGAATCTAAAACGGTAACTTTACATTTATAAAAGTAAACAAATACCATTGCGCAATTCATAAGCATATCATTGTGAGTCAAAAAGAATAAACTCAATTGAAAAATAACATGTCAAATCATAAGTCAATTGCCAAACATGAAGGACATAATTGCATGACCCTTACGCAATTGCATTTCCATTAAATATTAACAAAAAGTGGAAACTTGACAACTTGTATAACCGGTAACTAATTTTTTTTTTTAAATCTAAAAAAATCATAAAGGACAAATAGTCCATGGGGGGTATCTGTGCACTATAGAAGGTGCCCTGTTTTGACGCAACCAATGCACCTGCTGATTAGGGGAATACTTCATGGAAATTTGGCGTAGAACTTGATTTTCGTAAAGCAGATGTCTAATGTTTTGGCTCTTTGCAAAGAAAACAAGTCCAGTCATTGTCCCTTTCAATCTTGGCTTTCTACATAATTATTAAGGGTAATTACTCAAATGGTCCTCAAACTTATGCTCGATTTACATTTTGGTCTATCAATTAAATTATTAGTTCAAATGGTCCATCAACTCTATATTATTCGCTCCATTGGTCCTACCGTTACATTCTGTCAAAATTTCCGTTAAATATTAGGGCATATTGGTCATTATTTACCCTAAAATTAGGTTAAATCTAACAGAAAATTAGATGGTAGGACCATTGGAACGAATGATATAGAGTTGATGTACCATTTGAACGAATAATTTAGTTGGGTGACCAAAATGTAAATTAGGTATAAAATTGATGACCATTTGAATAATTTACCCTAATTATTAATGTAAGTTTCAAATTCAAAGTGAAGATGTTGACTAGCAATCAATTAGCTAGCCCCTTTACCCGTGTCGTCATAAAAGTGCATACCACCGGAGCCCGGCGAAGGTCAGGGTCAAGCTCCATTGCAATTTGCAAATTATTCATAGTCAAATGTTAAAAAGTCTAGCAATCCACGCATCATAGATCGACACTTGGAGACAAACAATACACAAAAACGAAATCAAATCTATTCTTATCAAACCTGCACAAATTCAATATGTAGCTATTTATGGCTAGTTTGGGATTGTTGTTATTTTAAATATAAAAAAATTGCTTCTATTATGCTTTGAAAATAATTAGCTGTAAAGTAGAGTAACTCCATATTTGGTAAACAATATTTTTAAAATGTTGTTAGTACAAAAAGCAGTGTCAAAATCATTTGGTAATTTTAATATAAAACTATTGTAACTGTGAATAATGACTAAAATAGACATGATGTTGAAAGTGTTATATGTTAATTATGTGGTGGTAGTGGCGGTGATGGTGGAGGTTGTGGTTGTGGTGAAACAGGTGGAGGTGAAAGTGGTGGTGGTGGTGATAAAGGTGGAGGTGGCGGTTGTGGTAGTGGTGGTAGTGGGGATGGCGGTTGTGGA